ACTTTCATTCACAACTAGTGTTTTCCTTCGTTATTCAATGACAAAACTGCATACTGTAACATAATACATTGTATAAAAATGAAAATAGAATCCCTGACTATGCAGCCTAATTGCTAGACTGCTGTTATCATAACCATACCATACATCTTTAAGACTTACAAGGGGCGGTGGGGTAGCCTAGTGGTTGAAGCGTTGGCTCGTCACGCCGAAGACCCGGGTTCGAATCAACACATGGGTACAATGTGTGAAGCCCATTTCTGGTGTCCCCCGCGTGATGTTGCTGGAATATTGCTAAAAGCGGCGTAAAACCAAACTCAGTCAGTCAGTAAGACTTACAATGTAGAAAGTAGGCTTGGCAAGCACAAATAGTGTCACTCACTGTCAAACGCTTTAGTTCCCACTATATCGCAATACGGGTACCTGAATCGCAATATGTTGCAATACAATTTATTTACCAATACACAGTCCTATACTGTATACCTACATTCATCACAGGGGGTCAGTTTGTGTGATGTACAATCCCGGACAGTGTAAGCAAAGAAGCGTCACCAGTACTGTACCGGGACCGTGTGTGAGGCTGACCAATAACGAGTACATGTGCAGCCAGCATACAACGGTCGATTCTGAACAACGCATGCGTGACAGGAAGGGTGATGTCTTCTGGGCACGTGGTATCTGTACACGTGATTAGCGAGATGACGAGATGTTATGTGGAGAGTCTCACGGACCACCTCTCATTTAGATAGTACAGAGAAGATCTAGCTGCCATATTACCGCACTCTGCCCTGGGGTTGGGCGTCTTGGGGCCCGGGGGTGAGGCAGGGGAGAAAACAATTCACCGTGTCTCATTATCTTCTGAAAATAATAGGCAATCGTTTTCTTAATCAAAATGTGACGTTTTTACGACATCTTTGCAACAAATTGTATGATGGGTTTTGATCGGATTAGAAAGGTTTATTTCTTTATTGTGTGTTTTGTAATAATGAAGCGTTGGATATCTTCCGTGTTGTGTGAAACTGACAGTTGAAAAATATATACCCACCACTTATGTTGATTGTTTCATTTATGAAATATTGTAACTGTAAATTTGCCAAATCATTGATGTTTAATTCACAAACTGAAGCGTGTCGCTTGTCACTTGTAGCACACCAGCTATGACAGATCCACATGGGTGGGTTTGTAATGATGGAGGCAGGGGTGGGGGGTTGAAGGTCGAAAAGTACCCTGCACCCCTGCTGACAGTCAACTGGGTCAACTCATGATGACAGACAGAAATAGTTTATTAAAGTGTCACAAGTTCAGAATACAGTATAAAATCATGATTATAGCATAAGTAAAAATCTTAACAACCAGCCATTTTTTGGCTTATGAAACACTATCATAAAATCACAGAAATAATTGACGTCTAAAATACATGGTTCTAATTACAGTACAAATACATTTAATATTTTTTGGGTTATTTTCAGTTAACAATTTAATAAAGAAATCTTAGACCCCTGTGCATTGTAAAGGGAAAGGCTAAGGTTATTACGCAGGTTATCATAACATTTACATGATGTCGGGGCTTGGGGTGGGGTGGGGTTCACTTTGTTTTAAATCATCTGGGTGAGGGGTGGGCGTGGCGACGAGGGAGACAAGATCGTTGTTGTCTCTAAAAACAATCCTAGGACAGAGTAAGTATCCAGTGGTGTACCAGGGCCGTATATTAGTCTAACCAGTAACGAGTGCACTTGCACTCAGCTTCAGTTATATCCTTGCATTTCTATGACTGACTGACTGAGTTTGGTTTTTACGCCGCTTTTAGCAATATTCCAGCAATATCACGGCGGGGGACACCAGAAATGGGCTTCACACATTGTGCCCATGTGGGGATTCCTACCCGGGTCTTCGGCGTGACGAGCCAACGCTTTAACTATTAGGCTACCCCACCGCCCCCATTTCTATGAGCTCCAGTGAAAATAATATATGACGTACAATAATATATGTGAAAATATTTACTATTTTTTCACAAGTACTGAGAATATAATATAACAGACTTATTGAATATACTTAATAATATTGAAAGGCAATTCCACCTTTCGTCTCTTCCAGAATTTCCGCCGATCACTTAATTATCAACAATGGTATAACATGGTAAAACTCTGTGCAGAGTTAAGAACGTTCGCATTCATGTTCTACACGAACCGGTCACCTACTGGAATTGTTTTATCAGACCCAGCTATCGGACATTTGCAACTGTATGTATATTATACGTCTTTATCTGACCATTACGTCACGTACGTGACCGGCTAACATGTTATCTACACCGATCACCGTAACGCGTGACATCTACGCACACATGATGACGTCGTAAGTCTTGAGAGCGCAACCATGCGAGGCTGTGGAATTCCATCTTTTATCAGTACCACTCGAAGATGAATTTTGCAAATTTCTGTAATTCAAGTAGTACTTGAATTTGTCAATGAACTAATGATATGTAACCACAATCCACACCATGCGCCGTAGACGAAGAATATATATATACCGGTACGTTTGTTCTACGAAATGTGTTGTGTAAACGAGTATACATGTTAAAACATGTTATATTTCCTATAATAAACATAAACTGTCAAAGAAAGGAAGAGACAATACAACGTATTATAATATATGTTAAATCTGAGGCCATGTTCACCAAAACACCTTTAAGACATAGGTTGCCGAATTGTGGTATTAACAAAATATGTTTCTTCACTCATTAACAATCATATGCCCAATCAGCTTGAGTCCAAATGACATTTCATAATATTGATTTGAAACGTTTCTGTCTGGTAAAAGATGCAATTAAAATATAATTTAACCCGGAAATAGAGAATCAAATTCATGATAGTACATAATATCTTAATATCTGAAAATATATATCGTTAAATATTTCATTCTTGTCACGATCAAACGTGTGCATAATATCTTAACATCTGAAAATATATATCGTTAAATATTTCATTCTTGTCACAATCAAACCTGTGCATAATATCTTAGTATCTGAAAATATATATCGTTACATATTTCATTCTTGTCACGATCAAACCTGTGCATAATATCTTAGTATCTGAAAATATATATCGTTACATATTTCATTCTTGTCACAATCAAACCTGTGCATAATATCTTAATATCTGAAAATATATATCGTTACATATTTCATTCTTGTCACGAACAAACATGTGTGCATAATATCTTAATGTGTGAAAATATATATCATTATATCTTATAATTCGGTATTTTTGTATTTTGTGAGATCGATCAACGGTGGGATAAAGGGAGAGGGCGTGGGATCACCTGCCCTCTAGGCCATCAGACTGAAGTGATTTTGCCATGTAGATCTTTTGGAATATACAAACATTCAAGAAATCATTAAAAATATTTAAGATGTTTCAAATGTGTGATGAACATGTCACCATACATCACGCTGATGAGAATGAACGTAACCGTTTGAAAGCTGGATATTACACTGTTTATCAAATATTTCGCTCAAGGCAAGAAATGAATTATGACTTTTGAAATTTAAAGCAAAGTAAATTCAACTGCTCATAAAGACAGTTCATCAACAGTATAGATTTACACTGAGTGAAGAAATTGATTTTGATGTGAAATACTCCAGTCAGCATTCTGTCCATTCGTTGATGAATTCGGGTACCTTCTGAAAGCAACGCGCTTGCACGTGTGTGTGTTTGTTGTGAACTAATATCCAGACAAATATACCCGTGAACATCCGGGTTGGATTGATCTTCAGTAATCCATACTTGTCGTAAGAGGCAACTAACGGGATCGGGTAGTCAGGTTCGCTGACTTGGTTGACATCGCAATTACGTAGATCGATGCTCATGAAGTCAATCACTGAATTGTCTGGTCCAGACTCGATTATTTACAAACTCTCGCCATATAGCTGGAATATTGCTGAGTGCGGCGATAAGGAACAGACAAACAGTAATGCCTTATAGTCCTGGCCCCACTACTCCTGAGTCGGTTAGTCCTTGTTTTACCCTTGTTTAATACCAAGCATGAGGCAGGGTAACACGTACAAAAACAGTCCGTTTGGCTCAAAAGCGGACAGATGAATTGTAATCTAACTTGAAAACTAATAAACAGAACATACTCAATGAAACGCTGATCATAATCAAAACATCATACCCACTCTGTGAGGTTTTTGCAGAACGGATGGAGGCGGCACAGCACAGGTTAATAAATAAATAACTTTGTCTGTGAACGTGCTTCTCGAACACTTGTCTGTTCCTTTCTCTGCACTCCTCCCTCGTAACAAACAGGTAACTGTGTTAATATTTTAATGATCATTTGTTTAACAACATTATTATTTTTGGACAAAAATTCTGCAAAAACCTCACAGAGTGGGTATGATGTTTTGATTATGATCAGCGTTTCATTGAGTATGTTCTGTTTATTAGTTTTCGAGTTAGATTGCAATTCATCGGTCCGCTTTTGAGCCAAACGGACTGTACCATACAATAACGTCCTTTGGTATGCTCGGATGAGGATCGAACCCCGGCTCTCAGGTCACCGGACAGAGAGTCTATCTCCTGAGCCAGGGATATAGTCGAATACTAGGATGAATCAAGTTCATATTTTCACTATGTTGTTTGTTGCACCGCTCCTCGCGGTCTTGTACAAATTTCATTCATGATATATAATGTGTATCGTGGAATTTCATTTACCAACTCTGCCATGTTGAATTAGGGCGAGGACCCATGCCCACATTAAAGTGCTCAGCGTTATTCCGTCACAGCCCTTTGAGCGTGACGGGAACCACCATAAAGAGATTTTACTGTCAAACTATCGTAGATAGGAGCGCACATTCCACGCACCGCCCGAGGCGACGTAATATGAAGTCACAGTCATTCTCGTCACAGGCGTTGAGGGGAGACGTTGAGCCTATCGGCAGCCTGTTGCTCCTGGTGAACATTTTGAGTGATCATCAGCTGTCGCAGGGACTCATGTTGAGGTAGGGTTTGGTGATTGTTAAATTAATGTCATCCGACATTGCTTGCTGTCTCTCCGCTGCTCCACAAAGACACGTCTGCTGTTTGGCGGAGGGATCCAACTGCCGGTGAAAGAGGATACAGTTTATGTCGTTCTTCCGATTTGGACAACTTTTTATTCTTCGTGCACATGAACCACGAATGCAAGTGATATTCATTGGAAGCTATTTCAGTGAAATATTGACCTTTGAGGAACAACTATAGGCTCAGTTCAGAACCGGGTGCTCCGAATATCGTCTGCTTCAGGTGCAGTCGTCTGCTCAGGATTGATGACACTACGTGACACGACAGCCGATCGCTATACAACGCTGTACTATACAACGTACAATTATACCCCTGTTTAACGTGCATCAAGCTGTGTGATAAAGACAAGTTATCTTGACTGGATGTTTATCGCGTTGTCGCCACAATACGAGAGTGAATTATACACACATTTCATCCTTCGTACAAACTTCACCTTGAGACATTTTCGGATCTCTTATTTTGTCGGAAATATACGAGGCACCTGTCAAAAAAAGTTATTCTGGTAACAGGCGTGTCTTGGCGTATAGCTCTTCATCAGTGCTTGTCCCTCAGTGACCCTGTGTGGACTTTGTGAAACAGCGTGTACAAGGATATCATCTACGGCATGGATGTAGAAACCAGATAAGTCGACAGCAGCAGCATCAGGGATGGCGGAGTCACCATCGTGGGTGAAACAGTTTGGCGCAAGCCAGCGTCCAAGATCTCAGTCCGTGCAGCCGGGATCACCGGCGTTCTGGGATGCAAACAGGACAACGGTGAGTACTACACAGTAACAATCAAGTTCAGTTTGGTGTCATACTTATCTGTTTTATTATTATTAATGCATATATTATAACGTAACATCCTGGCAGCTTCCGAACGTTGCTCTTTTCTGAGGAAATTCAGATGCAAATATTTTAGAGAATTTCTATAGTTTACACCTGCAAGCAGGCTAGACAAGCTCTTGATTACAGTTTAATCATATCAATAATAATTAAAATGAATCAATTTGCACTCGAACTATATATCATGTCCGTGGGGAGTAAGTAACTAAACTGCCGTATGAGGAGCTACAGTGTCAACAGATTACATCACCATCTCATCCTACCGGGTACCCATTCAGTGCTGAGTGGACAGAGTCATGTTTCGAACATAGATTCTATTGTCAAGTTTGCCAAACACAGTCACCCCTACTCGCAGCGACCAGCATTTTAAATTTCAGGGTCCAGATCCACAAAGCGTTCGGTCGGAACCATTACCATTGGCTTACGAATGGCGTAGTGATCGGGACCCAGTTTCGTAGCCTGTGCGCTACACATGGGACCAACGCGCCCTGATATGTGGCCTGACAGTGATTTAAATAATAATAATAACAAGGGCGAATGTTGGATTTGTACCACACCGGCAGGTCGTATTTAATTAATGGAAGCAACAATCCATAAACCGATAGCCTTGGTCCCTTGAGAGAGTTTCCCTTGAGAGAACATTTTCCTTAAAAGCATTAGCAAAGAAAAGTTTCAATGTGTTTGACTGCGACATTGCAACAAAAATTTCCGATGTGAATCTGTGAAATTAGATAACTGAATATTCATTGCAACAGCTTGTGTGCTCGAATCAAATACATCTCCAATAAACGGTGACATCAATAAAAGATAGTGTAACAATTACGTAATTCTAATCTGCAATAACCTGAAATACTCATGATACTTTCATGATCGAATACAGGCACCTCTCTCTCTCTCTCTCTCTCTCTCTCTCTCTCTCTCTCTGACTCTCTCTCTCTCTCTCTCTTCTCTCTACTCTCTCTCTCTCTCTCTCTAAACTCTTCTCTCTCAATCTCTCTCTCTCTGTCTATCTCTCTCTCTTCTATCTCTCAAGATATTTTTGTAACCTTTAATAAATGATGATATATATGATACACTTGTTATGTTAATATTTATACTAAAGATATTTTTGTACAAATGATGTATATATATATTGCACATTGCACATGGTACACCTGCCCCCTCCCCACCCCATCCATCCATCCACCACCACCCTCAAACCCAAAAGCCCCACCCCACACTAAGTGTCTGCGCAGTTTACTGAGGTATAGCATACTGTGAAGTAATATTGTATGATATTGGTGGAATAAAGCCAACATTTTCTATCGATAGTCCAATATAGCATAAATTACGAAACATTTAGATAATTCACTGGTTATCGCCATCCTGCTTGGTACAAACCCTTTGTCAGTTTTATTACCTCAAACATGACGTATCAGATTAACCGTACACCCTCGGCTACTGACAGAGAGGTTTAAAAAACCGACATCCCTTCTTGATGTATGGCCTGGCGTTATTTCTGAGTGTTGCGACTTCATCGCAGAGACTTTAATTTATTTATCTGTTTAAAAAAAAGATAAAAACATTGATCGATCCCCGAACGAGTAAGCAGAACCACATTGCTCAATACATCATGTGTTTTTTTCAAGCGCACTTGACTGCATTCAGTGAACAGATGGACACACCCACTTATGGTATAACTATCTTGTCGTGACAAGGTCGTATATAACCCACGTCTTTTTCCATAAATATAAATGGTTTATGTTAGTTGTTTAACATCTCTATATGTCAATAGCCTGTTCTTTGAAGCTGTTTCCTTGTACAAAACGGATCAACGCCTACATTTGACACTTATGCCGTCAATGAAATCTTTGTGGGCAACTTGAAATGGTCTGTGGGTATTTTTTGTCGCTTTAGCTTTGTTTCTTGGCATGTGACAGGTTGCGAATATATGGCTATCCTAAGGCTTTTAGTTTTCAATTCAATTTGCATAGGCAGTATATATATATATGAATCTAATGAGATCTTTACCTGTAAACAATCTATTCAGCTCGGGTCATATATTCTTTTGTTCCTAAGCCTCGCGAAATAACCAAAAATATATATATGCGACATTGAAAATAAGACATTAAGAGCTGCGTTAAGTATGGAATAAATTTATAGGATGAAATATGACGGTAATATGTCGTAAATACCTGTGCGCGTATGTGCACGTGCGTGCGTGCGTGCGCGTGTACACGCGCGTGTGCGTGGGTATCCTAGTCCTGTTAATGCTGGTTTGTAGTGCTAGCCCACAGTGATACCATACAACAGTGTAATATAGATATTCAACTCAGACAAGGTGTAAGGAACCCGAGTTGTCCAGACGTCCAGCAGGCGGGGTAACAACAAGTACCGTATGTCAGCATGTGTTGGTATGAGTGAGTGAGTGCGTTTAGCTCTACGCGACACGCAGCAATATTCAAGCTATATGGCGGCGGTCTGTAAATAATCGAGTCTGGACCAGATAATCCAGTGATCAACAGCATGAGCATCGATCTACGCAACTGGGATACGATGACATGTGTCAACCAAGACAGCGAGCCTGACCACCCGATCCCGTTAGTCGCCTCTTACGACAAGCATGGGTTACTGAAGGTTCATTCTAACCCGGATCTTCAGGGATCGTGTTGGTATGATTCTGTCCTTTAATCCTGGACTGCGCATCCAGGTGTGACAAACTACAATAGTGCTCCGTGAGGAACAGAGACATTGTCCTCATTGAGAAATTGCGGTTTGTTTGTTTGTTCGCCTCATTCAGCGATTTTCCACCTACCTGACCGTGACATGTATGTAATCACATTTGGACTAGACAAACCAGTGGCTAATATCATGAGCTAGGGTTATGCTGACACGCACCCAACACATTATTCCAGCCTGGCCACCCGATCCACTGGGTGCCACTTGCGACAGTCCTAACTCTAACTTAATAATAACGGTCCAAGCTTACTGTTATGTTGATGTAAATCACAATGGGTTTAACAGACATACGAAATAGTTTTTGAACAATGAATCAAATTTGCTGGGTTTGGCAATTTGTTCAAGGCCATTTCACAATCTCTTTGCTAAACAAAAACAACCTCTTAAATCAACAACACTCTTGTCCCAGATTGGGTCAAAAACGACATAAATTATGACAAACCTTTTTTTAAAAAAAATTCCAAATGCAAATCCAGAAACAAATTAAATCCGGTGTCTTAGTTACACTACTCACAAGACGTTAGGGGTCACCGAGTTATTCCTATTTATACTGTTGATATCATATCATCAGGAAGTCTTTATATTTCTTTTGAGTAGTATACGTAAAACAGGCGAAGGTGTTGGCTGAATATTTCTATGATATAAACGCCACGTCACTAGGAACATTCTACCTGTCAGTCTCGCGCATTAACTTAACACGTCGTCTACAAGGGACATCACTCGGGCACGTTATGCATACGATTACCGCTAAACCGACCCAAGACATTTGTCATATTTTTTTGTCATGCGTGAACTAAGTTTTTTTGGGGAGACGCGCAAATGTATGCTGCGTAATACAAATGAATAACATTTCAAGCAAGGCTTCTTATGAACTGTCACAGCACTTCTGTCATAAGTTACCCAAGCTTTGTATATGTACAGTAGTCTTTTAAATGTAAACGGAAACGCCCAGGCATAATGTTTCTGAGACACGAGGTAAGTAAATAAACATATAATAGTATCCTTATATAAAATAACATGTGTTTCAGGGAGTTGGTTTTTTTTCTTTCTTTTTTTGTTAAAAACAGAAACGGTTAAATGATTAATAAAAGTGACATAATCCACTGACGGATCTAGAGTTTCGACACTTTGCTTATTGGAATCTTGTGATACGAGGTTAGAATTTCAGTTTCGCTCAAAGTAAGACCCTTACTTATGATACTCATGCCTGTAGCTTAAAACAAAGTGTTAATTAGACCTGCATCAGTTTCACTCCCACCCCACCCACCCCACGCACGCCCCCTCCCAGCCATCCAGCTGACATGTGATGCTGTAGATGGACTCAAATCAGCGTTAAACACAATTAAACACAATTCAATCATGCATGAAAATCTATATGTATAACGGCCTATATCGATTATCTGCCGTGGTAAATACCATTAAGCGTTAGGGAAACTTGCGGTGGAGTTTATTTTAACGGACCACCGAAAATCATTCGTGACACCAGGTGTTAGCTTAAAGACACCTGGTCGGAATAATCGTATGGCTTGTCGATGGACATGTTGCTGATCCCCACACTACTACGGGACGTAAATCGGTATGTTAACATGGGGCCATTCATGAACCTTTTAGTAGAACATATCCGACAGCAGTTAATTTCATAACCAGTTCGGTCTGAAATACGCCAAGACCACTCTCGACGAATCTGTTAACAAGCTTCAGACAGCAGATTAACTTGTTAAGCTCCCCAATGACCCGTAACAGTCGTCACGGTGACGTAACCGAATAGACAGCTGTCGAAGGTTCGAAGGTTTTTATTTTCTCAACTTCCACCAACGGCGGTACATGAGTGAACTGGAAAAACATTATATACACATATACACCAAGATGGCATCGGAGAGATATAATTGAGGCAGGATAATGTACAATACAATATACATGTACATACATATTCATATATACAAGGGTGTCATTAGAGAATGATACAAACATTTAATTACATGTATTTACATCTAAACTTCTATTGATACATTTAATAAATTTTGACAAGTGTTTCACATATTTAGCTTTCTTTGAACAAAGTAATCTTTTGAGTGTATAAAGGTTGGGCCAGGTATTGACATACTGAGGTATGTACAGCTGCCGCTGTTGGTGAAGAGTTTGACACCTGAAAAGATAGTGAAACTCATCACCGACAGCGGGTGAGTTACATAATTTACATAAACGATCATTTC